AGATGTTTGTTGCATATATTATTTTGTTTTAGTTTTTCAAAGACCCAGTGAAGCTAGTATTATTATGATGATTCATTAATGATGTAGAAACTTGAGTTTCTGGGGATATGTGCTCCTTTCCCAGGGGTACCACCCAGCTAATCAGGCAAAGAGCTGGCTCTTTCCCTGGTGTTCTATTGTGGCTGTTAGTCTCCTTGGACAGTTTCATCCAGAAGAGTTAATCTAGGTAAATAGAGGGACTTGAAGAATCCCTAAAATTCCATCTGTCCACTCTGCAATGACAGTAAGGTGTGGAAAAAGAGAAGGAGTTCTCAATATGAATAACCCATTCCCTCATCATTTTAATAATAAATAATTGCATTCCCCACCCTGTTCCAGAGGTGTGGGTGACAAGACTGAAGAAAATATTTTAAAATCCCCTGTCTTCATGGAGTTTTCAATCTATATTGAGGAGACCAACAGAATACTGTAAACACCATAAATAAGTAAATGCTATAATATGTTAGAAGCTCAAAGTGCTACAGAAAAGACAGTGACATCAAAGCCAATCACAACTCTCAATCAGCTTTGGATACCAAAATAGCCACATCAGCCTGATTTAATTCCAAGAGCAAGAAATGACATCTCCGTTAACCTGTTACTTTCATTCCCAAATATATTTTTCTGCTTAGAAATAGTAGATGTAGCTCACGGATTTATAATTATCTTTATGAATCTCAGATCTGGAAATCATTTGCCCGAAGGTTTCCTTTTCCTCTACCCAATTAGTCATCAAAACTTAGGTGAAAGAGAATCATAGATGGAAACACAAAAAAACAAATTATAAGAATAAAAAAAGGGAAAATACAGGAGTAGGTGTGGCTCAAATTCCTACACACACACACACACACACACACAAAAACAAAACAAAACAAAACAAAACAAAAAAAAACCTCTACCCACTATTACTTCCTTGAACAACATGGGAAAATGAATAAGCTCTTACCCCATGTGCAAAAGATGGAAGGAGCCTATCATATCAGCACACACTCACCAATCCACGACATACATATAAGGTTGTCCATTTTCCAGAAATAGTTGCCCCAGTAACCTCTGGTATTACAAAATCCCCACCCTTGAAAGCAAAGTTAGTTTAGTTACAGCATTATCACCAAAACACAGGAACAGGCTTAAAATTTCCCCTAATCCCCTCAGACAGGTTTTGCATAGAGTGTCTTTGTGGAGGTACAGACCAGCAGCAACCCTCTTGGTAGAGAAAGAGACTCAGAAAAAGGATCAAGAAGAGAAAATGAATCTGCTGAGCCTTCTGAACCCAGGTTTTTTTCACAGGAGCCAGGGGTAAAAAGAAAAAAAAAAAAAAAAAAAAAGACGAGATGTGTTTCTTTGTCAGGTCAGGAAAGAATTTGCTCCTTCATCTACCCCAGTACCTGGAGAACGCTGAGCCTCACCCCTTCCCGAAACGGCTCATATCTCTAGAGTATTTCTTTAAGGATACACAAGGAATAGAGAATGAGATCTCAAAGACTACACTCTGTCTGAAAGGCGAGAAAGAAGCTGATTTTTTTTTTCCCTCTGAAAGTCTCCTGTGGTTGCGAAGGAACCCGATTAACAGGAGAAGGTAGATCAGAATAATTCAGTCCTCTCTGTATTTCCCTGTGGCCATCCTCCTAAGACTGTTTGTCGCTAGATGTTTTTGAAGAGCAGGCTCCCCTTGGACTCAGATTCCTTTCATCCCTGCCCTTGCTAGGCTGGGTATGCTAAATGAATTGGGGAGATGACAGACACACGTCACAGGTGCTGTTAATGCAGGAGTTGCAAGGCACCTGCAGAGCTGGGCAGCAGGATTCACCACGGTCTCTATATCTCAGAACCATGGCTCTCTTTCTCATGATGCTTTTCACTTCAGCAATATTGATGGCACTTAATACAGCCATATTTTTAAAAAAGAGGGAAAAAATGCTTTCTACATCTGAAATTGCTAGCCATTTCCTTTCCTGTCCTCCATGACTTTCATATTTTTCTTAGAGATCCTCTTCTTAATAGACCTGCCGGCCCACCTGACCCTGATCCTTCTTCTTACACTTTTCTTTTAATCTTGTATATGCATTTCCAATTCACTCCTTCCTGGTTTTTAATGAGCCCTAAACAGATGAGCAGCCTACATAAACAAAGGGAGATTGCTAAGAGCAGTAATTCAGGCACCACTGTTAAAATGTAAAGCACACGGAATTTTCTGCACAGAGAGGATGTGCATTATGGTTTAGATATGAAGTGTCCCCCAAAAGCTCAAGTGTGAGACAATATAAGGAGTTTCAGAGGTGAAATTATTGGGTGATGAAAATCTTGTCTTAAATAGTGCAATAATTTGGATTAACTGGGTTACAACTGTAGGCAGATAGGGTGTGGCTGAAGGAAGTGTGTCATTGGGGGCATGCATTTACAGATATGTATATATATAAATGTCCTTGGAGAGTAGAATTTTCTTTCAGCTTCCTGGTGCCTTGTCCTGAGCTACTTTCCCACATCACACTCTCATACCATGATGTCCTGCCTTACCTCTGGCCCTGAAGAGTGGACTGAGACTTCTGAAACTATGAGCTCCAAATAAACTTTTCCTCCTCTAAAATTGTTTCTGTTCATTTCTTTGTCACAGTAGGAAATACGCTGAGTAAAATAATGTGCATAATGGTTACTCTGTATGTATATGTAGGGGGCAGAATAATCATAAAAATTAAATGGTTCTCGCAAATGATCACGATTCAGAACATAGTTTTCAAACAAAACTTATAATATCTTTCTTTTCCTTATCACTGGTTTAATGTCAATCATCAGCATTGATGATAACAAATTCCCCTGATACCCTGTTTGGTAAAGTCTTCACTTCATTCTGACTGCCCTGCTGGTACTGAAATCTACAAGTAGAAGCTCTGCTTTGTCTTTCTGAAATAGACCTCTATCATTCATACCCCCTTTCCCATCGCAGTGCACACCTTATCTGTGCCGTTACACATTCTACCACCCACAGTGCCCAAGAGGCTGGCCTACAGTCTCCAGCATCATTGCTGTCCTATGAGGCTTCTCAGCCCAAGTACTCCTAATTGCTCATTCTCGCTTCTGAGCCATGGGACCCTACTGTTGTAGGAAAAGGAAAAAGAAAGAAGAGCCCCAAATATTCAAAATTAGCTTATTCACCTTCATCCTTTTCTGTCAAAGGCTACCTCTAACTCCAAATATGCTTGGGTAAATAAAAGCTATAGCCAGAGGTTTTGCTTTTTTGACCTTCATGCCTGAGCACCTAGCAGAAAAACTGCTATTAACTGCTGCCCTTAAATCACTCTGAATGTGGCCTTCTGCTGAAACCCTCACCCCTAAGTGTAATTATTTCTCAACATCTTAAAATTTCTTCTGACCATCACTGTCTTCTCTTACTCCTTTCCCCTTGAGAGCTGCATTTCTTGTAGGAAAAACAACCCTATATTTGGGGGTTCAGAGGTTCTGTATACGACAGCACAGAGTTAAATCAGGGATGACAGCACCTTGAGCAAAAGCATAAAAAAAAGCCCCATAAATTTCCAGGAAAAATACATGGACTATATTGCTATGTAAGATCCACTGCAGCTCAGGAAAGCCAATTCTTGTACCCTATATGTACACAGAATTTTGTACAAAGTGTTCCCTATGAATTACCCCTGCTTAATTATTCCATCTTGTATAAGCATAGTTATTTTTCATTGTACAGATGAAGAAAACTGAGACTTGGAAAGGTTGAATGATGTGCTTATGATTCCATCTTGATAGATGGGACTGGCTTCACGTTTCACAGGGTGGCCTGGAAATTAAAATTTCAAGGTCTCTGGTTACAAACGAAAAAAAAAAAAAAAACAAAGAACAAACTGAAATTTTCAAGATGACAACAGCCAACATTGAACCAAGCGTGGAACTCTGAGCATGGAGCCCACGTTGTACTTGTGGAGCTGACTTTGCTGATAGATGAAAATGGAGCCTGGGTGCAATTCAGATGTGTGAAGTTCAAGTTCACTTTTCTATGACCCTCTGGCTGGGTTAGGATTCCATTCCCTGACCTTCCTGTAACATGGCATGTACACTGCTTAACCACAATGCACCTTAGTTTCTCCTACTATAAACCAAGATACTAGAGCAAATAATCAGTGTGGTTTCTTCAAAGTTTTATGACCTTTTCTTCTTAGATCCTTGAACTCTGGTGGACAATGATTCTGAGAACAAAGCGGGGGAAAAAAATCTGGATTAATTTCTCCATATTTTCAAATGTCAATGTGTCTTCCATTCTTTCAAAATCCCTTATCTTATACCCAGCTCTCTCTTTTACCCAAATTTAATCTATTATTTATGTCAGATCATTTAAGAAGGTGGGGTAAGAATGGAAAAAAAAAATTTTAAGGGAGAAAGGAAGGAAGGAAAGGAAGGAAGGAAGGAAAGAAGGAAGGAAGGAAGGAAGGAAAGAAGGAAGGAAGGAAGGAATCCCTACCAGGCCCTTGCTGTGCAGATGGCTGCAGATCTCCACTTCTAGGCTATTATCAGCAGACTTCACTCCGGGGATGTTACACTCTGCAATTTGTATGGCAAAGACACATTTTTGAAACCAAACTGGTTATTATTGCAGAGGCTCCTGCCTCAAGCAACCGTCTGAATGTTTTTCTCCCTGAAATCTGAACATATTCATCAAACTGCGTTGCGCTCCTGGACTTGCAATTAATCACAGCTCGTTTCAAGCTTTGTTAATTAATACCAAGGCCAGGGACCCAGTGGAGGCCCTAAATTTAATCTGCAGTGCTTTAAAATTATTATAATCTGTGAGAGGAAGAGCCATTGGATTTTAAGTGATTTTTTTTAATTCCAACAGTGCATTGCCAAGAATTAAAAGAAATAATATGATATTCTTGGTGAGGGAGATACCCTGAAGTAGCCTCATTTTGTTGTGGTGAGGTGACATCTGGCCAGCAGAGGGAGCAGAACTGAACTACTGGAAGCACTGTGTTTTCAGAGAGAAACAGACTTAATAATTGAAAGAGGGAGAAAGAAAACCAAATGGATACCATCCGACAGCTTTGGAAAATAACAGAATCAATATATGAGAGGGGTTGATTCCCAGTACAGTCTGGTCTGGCAGAACTGGGGAAAAGAAGAAACATTATACATTTCTATTCCTCACCTTTAAGGTGCTAAAAGGGGAGAATTCCTGAGCATGATCTCCACCCAGAATGAGAGAAGGCATTGTTAAAGACAAAATGACTTCAGAGGAATAAGAAAATGGTTCATCCGAAATCATTCCTGTGCTTAGTGGTGAATCTCTCTGGACTGAAACTGCTATTGGCTTTCATGGTTTGTTTTCTGGGATTGCACTTCTCTCTAAACTGAAGCAAGGTAGGCACCTCTCTCTGTCTGATGATTATTTATTTTTCACATCTCAAACACTTACAGCATCACTACACAGCCATAATTTATATATACGTTGCTTCCTACCAGCACCTCACCTGTTAGCTCAATTGTTGAAAACTTTTGATTTTAAAACGAACCACAGGAGGATAAATGGTCTCAGGTTATTAATAGAACAACACCGAAATATTCCAGAGAAATAGAATAATGTGTGCATAAATAAATGTGGAAGTATAAAGACTTCTGAAGGGATGATTTTCTAAAGTGTTATGTGTGGTATACACAGTTCTATAACTCCTGTCCTCCGTGGAATCTGAAGTCCTGTTTTCCTACACCACCTGCACCACCTGAGCCATTCCAAACTTCTTTTGTCCCCAGACACCTTGTTGTGTGTGCCCCTGGGGCTTCACACATGATAGCTGAGACTTTGTACTTTAAGACCCACACAAGAATCACCTCTACTCTGAAGGTTTTCAGCTGTCTGTGAGTGTTCTTACTCAATGATTGTGAATATTTTTTGTGCTTATATATATGTGCCCTTACCACACTGATTTGTAAATAATGTGTATATATTTTTCATGATAATACATGTATAGCTACTTTGCAGCCATATTTCACATGATGAATGGGACAAGTTCTGAGATTAGGCGATTCCATCATTTTGTGAGCATCATAGTGTGCTCTCACACACACCTAGTAGTAAAAGTCAATCACTCCCATGTGGTCTCTTGACACAATCAAGGGATGAATTAAATATGACATGTATGAGGCTGCTGCTGGCATTAAATGGCATACGGTTTTACAGTAATTTATTTTTATTATAAATAGGAGTATACTCTAAAGTAACAATTAAAAGTATAGCATCGTAAATACATAAGCCAGTAAAGTAGTTGTTTATCATTTTCAAGTATTATGTAAAGTATATAATTGCATGCACTATACTTTTATACCCTTGGGGTGCAGTTTGTTTCCTCCAGCCTCACCACAAACATGTGAGAGATGCCTTGTCCTACTATGTTGCAATGGCTAAAATGTCACTAGGTGGTAGAAATCCAATGTAATCTTGTGGGACTATTGTGGTATACAGAATCCATCTCAACTAAACATGATTATGTGGTGCATGACTGTATTAAATTATGATAGATAATAAACAGATAAATAGATACAAACATGTAAGTCTCTACCTCCAGACTTTAAGAGGCCCAAGAGTGGTGCTGTTGTCTCTCCATCTTTTATATAGTCAGCTCCTAGGGCAGTGTCGGTGACATGGTATGTTCCTGATACTTATTGCTTGAATGAATCACTTGAACGAATAAGTAGAGGTCACTCTGGGTCTAGTCTTATTTTATAAAAGGGAACTGAAGCACTAGCAGGGCAAATTACTTGTCTAAAGTCACACAATTAATTGTCAAACACATTTGGCAGAAGTCCAAGCCACAGAGTGCTCATTTCCTTAGGTAGACATCCCTTTAGAGCTTCAGAATTTGCATGAAACCACATAGATAAAAATGAGGCAAGAAATAAAGCCGGGACAGAGCATGACAAATTCTTAAGTCAGCTAGGAGTGAACAATACATAGAGCCACCAGTAGACCCCAAAGTCAATCAATATGAGGGGTGCTGGAAGATGCACATAGGTTGAAAGCTCCAGGTTATATGGTTCATGAATCCTATCTCTTCACTGCACTCCCATTTCTTACACTGAAGGAGAGCAATGTACAGATTTAGACAAAAGAAATCCTAAAGAAAAGTATTAAAGGGAGATATTATTTCCACAAGCAAATGCCCACAGAGATTTTACAGATGGTGAGATGGACCAGCCCATGTGGCCCATGACTATGCACTCTAATCCAATTCATGAAAGCAACATTTGCTGGAGGGCCAAAGGCAGATGCTCCTGCTCTATTACAAAATCACAATGTTTCCACGACCTTGAAGGTAATATGAAAAGGAAGATCTGAATGGGAGTCAGGAGAATAAAGATGTGCAGAGCATCATTCCAGTGGTAGTCGGCCCTCAGCACCACCTCTGTGTCAACAACGCAGTGAAGACTAAATGGGGCCCTGGAGGGCTGTCAGGTTGCAAGGGAGCGGCGTCTCATGATGTGGCTCCGTGTTGCCACATCTTCCTATTACACAGACAAAGCCAAACATGCAGAATGTATGTGTCCTTTTTTCTATTTTTTTAGTAGTCAACAACTATTTCTCTGCATGCAACCAACTCAGAAAGAAACATATTTGCAGGCTGTGAATCACAGAACTGCGACCCTTGCCTGAAATCTACATATCCCTGAAGGAATGCACTTTGCTATTGGGGGTGGGAGAAGAAAATCTCATTTACAAGCAATTTTTTGGGTAGCAGATGCTGTGGAGGATGGAATGGAAAATATGTGCATTTTCCCTTGAGCAGTTTAGGATTTTATACAATTTCTTCTTTATCCTGTTCTCAAATAACCTTTGCCTCAAGACAATAGGTCAAACCATAAATACTAGGTTTTTGAGAAGATTTTAATTTAAAATTTCCTTTATTGTAGTCAAATAAGGGAGCTCCCTTGAGGCTTCCGGTGCCTTTGTATATTGCAAGGTGGGTATTTCCCAGGTGGAGTAAATGACCAGGGATCAAGACAAGTCTCATAATGCAATCAGCAGCTGGATACTCACTGGGAGAGTCTCTGGTTACTGTTGATGGAAGTCTTCCCTTATCCTGGCAGGTGCTAAGAGGAGGTGGTGGCCAGCAGTGGTTCTGGGGCTGAGTAGTGTCTCTTCCTGCCTGTCTGATGGTCTTCAAACAATGACTCAACTCCTACCAGCCTCTGGACATTCAATTGACCCTGGATCCAGCTCAATGCTCTCCTCCTGGTCTCTCCTGAACTTTGCCATCTTTTATTCTATGTCTCTCTTCCCACCCACTACTCTAGGGATCTTTGTTTGTGGTATTGAGGAGATGCAGAAGGAACTCCTTCCTCTCTTAAATGATTCTTGATATTTCCCTCAGAGACATTCACTCAAAGGTAATATTTGTGTTTTCCAGGCACACATAATCTTCTTAAGTGCCTGGACATTTGAACACACCAAAGTCCAGTGATCACTGTTCCCTGCATCCACCTTGTCAAAATCTTCCAGAGGCATATCCATGCCTGATTATATGCCTAAAATTATCTGTTTCCATGGGAGGCAGGTATAAAGGAAAGAAAAGGATAAATGGAAAATAAAAATATGTATAATTGTACTTTTTAAATGTCAATCTGCTACACTACTTCTTGGAAGAAAAAAAAAATACCCAATTTTCCTCTTAAAATAAAATAGACCCACACTTTGGGGCTGGAGCTGCAACAACGGATGCATAGATTCTAACCGGAAACCACAGTTCATCTGTCCCCTGGATCAAAGGTAAAATCCTATGTGCCCATGGACCCTGAGAGCCATCTGAGAGCTCCCCATTCTATTTCCTATCAGGCAAAGCCAAGCACTGCACCCATCATGCAAATAAAATAGGTCCCAAGGCTTCCAGAAATAACCTTTACAAACCTCCAAATAAAGCTTTGATTGGGTCTGTTCTGAATGACCAAAAAGAAGACTTGTTCAAAGCAGTGGGATCAAGGAGGTGAGGCGGGGGCAGGAGTGGGAGAAAGGCTGCTGTAAGCCCAGGTCCAGGCAAAGGGCCTCAACAGGGACAGCTGAGGAGGGCGGCCGTTTTCTCATCCTAACTGGCTCCCTCCTGATGTAAAGGCCTTGTACAAATCCCACCTCTCTTCTAAGCTCCTTTATTCCTGCAGCCTCATGCAGTGTCAGGAGAAAAAGCAACTGCTGCGTCAAGAAAGCAGCAAGTCAGAAGGGAAGAGAGCACAGGGCAGCAGGCTTTTGAGGATGTATTAAAGATTTCAGCAAACGCAGGGATGCAGCATCACTGGTCCAGCCCTTCTCAACGCCTCCATCCTCCCCACCTAAAGGGAAGGACAGACATGTGCTAGGTAAAGAGGCCTGAGGGTTCCAACATGCAGCATGGTGGATAAATGAAGGGCCCCTCTCCTCATTGTAGTTGTCCTATTGTCCACCAGAGAGTATGACCCTCACAAGGGCATCATTCTGGGATGAGGTTTTTGTCTCTATGGATCTCACATTGCTGAGGGACAGACAGCCATCCAGGAGAGCCGCATAAACACACACACACACACACACACACGCTCACACATAAACATGCTCACACATACTATACATACACACACACATGCACTTACAAGTGTGTTGTGATAAGAAAAAAAAAAGAAGACAGACATTGCTTTTGCCTTCTAGGAGCCTGAAATCTTACTTAGAAGCAAAGTGCATTTTCATAAGTGATATGTATTTGTATTTATAAAGTACAGTCATTGTACTATAAGATCTTATTCATAGCATGCTAAAAAGAGGTCTGGGTTTAGAATTAAAAGACTCAAGTCTACATATCCATTTTGCCATTTAGTAATAGCTGGACAAACTTGGATAACTCTCTTAATCTTCCTGAACCTCTTAGAAGAGTCCCTTGCAGAGAGTAAGACTGTATGTTAGTTACTCTTGTTGTTTAATATTATTACTATAACTATTTTTTAAATTTATCCATTTTTATAATTAGCTTATGGTCACATTTAAAAGTCAATTTTGTTGTGTCTCTTTGTAAATTATTTAGTGTATGTTTCAGGTTTTACTCCCCACCCCTGATCATCTTATTTTTTTTCTTTTTTAAATAGAAATAGTGGCATGGTTCACACACAGCTGTGCCATTCCTCAGAGAATCCCACCACCTCTTGCTTCTCCTGGCATTTGCTAATTTGCACCACATGGGAATAGCTCCATGACTGGGTTCTGTTTCCAGTCTCTTCCTTCTTGTGCTGCACACTCGCTTCAAAGTTATAGTTACTAAATAGAGCTCTATTCAGAATGTCAATCCTCTCCTCAAAATCCTCCCAAACTCCCTTACACCTATAAAAGACATTCTAACCTCTGCAGAGGACTTTTTACTAAATACTTATGTAATCTTCAAGTGGGAGGAGGAGTAGAGGGAAGATAGAGTCTAAATTTAGTTTTTCACTTTTAAAAGTTTGAACTTTCATCATTAATACTCTGGAATAAAAGAAGACAATGAACTAATTATGCTCAAGAATATTTCCATTCAATTCCTTCAATGGTTGTTTAGGAAGTACCCCAACTATGTGACAAATACTGGTGATACAACAATGAGAGTGGGGAAAGGTGTGCTCTCTTTATGGAACTTACTGAAAGGGAGACATCAACAGGAAAGTGAATTGCTAAGGGGATAGATAGTAAATGATCACAATCCAAAGTGAGGACTCAGAATCCTTCTGAAGGCAGGAGCCCAGGCTCTGCCAATGCATCTAGGCATTGATCTAAGTAGACACAAGCAATGGAATGCAACGGTATCTTGTCATCTTTTGTGTTCCTTCATCCTATGGATCAGTTCTAAGGTGCCCAAGTCGAATCTGATTTCCTTAGAACTGTACATTTGTGTGTGTGTGTGTGTGTGTGTGTGTGTGTGTGTGTGTG